CTGGCGATCATCAAAATTCTGTAATTTTATTGGCTGTTGATCACATGATGTGCCTCCGCTTTAGACGACCTCCAAATTAGGAAATCGATTCCGACATAGTTGAAAATCACCCTAGCCATCCAGAAAAAAAAGCGACAGTCACGTGATGTAGGTCATTTCCGACCTGATCGGACCTTAAATTTAAATAAAGATATCTCGAGAATAACCCAATAAAATTCGCTAAAATTTTTTATTGAATTTTACAAATTCATATAATTAAAATAAAAAAAGTTTCATCGAATTTCATCAGGTGGTTCTCGAGATATCTTAAATCAAAGTTCAAAACGTCTATATAATTGAATCTGCGCCAAACTTTTTGAGAAACTTTGATCTAAGATATTTCGACAGCCACCTGATAAAATTCGATAAAGCCTTTTTTTATTTTAATAATAAGAATTTGTTGAATCAATATAAAAAAATCTCATCGAATTTATCAGGTCGTTCTCGAGATATCTTCAGTCAAAGTTCAAGACATCTATATTTGAAGCTGCGCCAAACTTTTTGAGAAATTTTGATCTAAGATATTTCGACAGCCACCTGATAAAATTCGATAAAGGTTTTTTATTTTAATAATAAGAATTTGTTGAATCAATATAAAAAAATCTCATCGAATTTTATCAGGTCGTTCTCAAGATACCTTCAATCAAAGTTCAAAACGTCTATATAATTGAAGCTGCGTCAAACTTTTTGAGAAACTTTGATCTAAGATATTTCGACAGCCACCTGATAAAATTCGATAAAAATTTTTTTTATTTAATAACAAGAATTTGTTGAATCAATATAAAATTTTTCATCGAATTTTATTAGGTCGTTCTTGAGATATCTTCAATCAAAGTTTAAGACGTCTAAAAATTAAGCTGCGCTAAATTTTTTGAGAAATTTTGATCGAAGATATCTCGACAGCCACCCGATAAAATTCGATGAAAAGTTTTTTTGTTTTAATTATAAGAATTAGTGAATCAATATAAAAAAAACTTTCATCGAATTATCAAGAGATTGTCGAGATATCTTCAATCAAAGACAAATAAAAAAAACTTAATTTCGCCGAATTCTGAATAATCCTACAATTTTTGACATTTCTTATGCATAATTAATATTATCACTAATTAATATTTTATCTAAATTTTTCTGCATTGACAATAATTATTTACAAGAATTTAACATTTAATGATTGGGTCACAAAAATTTTTGATTTAATTTAGCACTTCTATGTACGATTCATTAATTATTACTGTAAATAAATTAAATAAAAATTAATATTCATTTGTAAATTAATATTATTCAAATTTTCTGCACTAACTTACGAATTTAAAGATTTTCTAAAGAATTTTATCGAATTTAGCACTTTCATTTTGTGCGCATTAATTAAATAAATAATTATTAAATATTAATTAAATAAATAATAAATAATCGATTTAAATTACTTTGACGCATTTTATGTATGCATGATATCTAATACGTACTGTACATATTATACAAAAATAGAAATATATAATTATTGTATTCATTCTTAGTTACGCTATATCTATATTCAATTATAAGTCTTACTTTATTCGATTTACTGTATGTTATATTTTACAAGAATTAGAAGTAGTTATTGCTTGATTAGGTTATTCTTGCATTTCAAAGGATTATGTAAATTACTGTATCGCATTTAGTTTTGCCATTTAATAAAAATGTAGAAATGTGACTCAAAGCTGTTGTTCGATTAGTTTTTTTTTTTTTTTTGTCATTTAACCATTGAATTCTCGCAGTGTCGTTTGCTTTTTTGACTTTTATTTTAATTAAGTAAGTTTGATTACAACGTGAAATATGACTCGAAGTTGTTGTTCAATTAGTTTTTTTTTTTTTCATTATTATCTAACCATTGAATTCTCGCAGTATTGTTTGCTTTTTTTTGTCTTTTCTTTTAATTAAGATTGATTATAATGCAAAATATGACTCGAAGTTGTCGTTCAATTATTATTATTTTTTTTATCTAACTATTGAATTTTCACAGTGTCGTTTGATTTTTTTGTCTTTTATTTTAATTAAGTTTAATTACAACACGAAATAAAATGTAAGATTAGTGCAAGTATTCACACGAAATATATTTAAACCCTTTTTCTCGACCTTTAATGAAGTTTAATAAAATTCGATTTTTTATATAAACTCTAGATCTATTAAATAAAAAATAAATACAGTTGATACTGTCTAAATGCATACTGCATACTGTATAAATGCATAATTTTTTAAAAAAATTTAATACGTAGTAATATACATTTAGACAATAAATTTTCTAGTATTTGATTGGTTAATACTGTTTAAATGTATAAAATTGATTTTTTTTTGTGTCCACTGATGGTACGTACGTATGCATTTAAACAGTATCAACTGTATAACATAAGCATATACTCAAAATACTTTTTTTTCTTTCTAATATAAATCAAATAAAGATACAACCCCAAAATGAATAGAGAAAGCCAATATGAAGGTAAAAAAGAATGCAGTCGCTGTAATGGCATAATTAAAATGAAACCTTTTGCCGTCCACAAAAGAACAATCTGCAATACAAACATTCAACCTGTAATAAATGTTATGAACAACACAAAAATAAGCGAAAAGAAGTAGATGTAATCTCCAGCAAAAGAAAACAATTTGAAACTGAACCAACTGTGATCACAGGTTCAATTACAGCCATAAATTCTAGTCAAACTGATTCATATATGGATCTTGAACAAGATAGTGATGCTTTTGAAGATTCGTCATCAGATTTTTTGTGTGACAATAATGCACAAAGTGACCAAGATATAGATAATATCGAATTCAGTAATATTAATGGGCTTCTATATAATTTAGATGAGGTAGAAGAGTTAATTTCAAAGCGATTTCAATATGCAAAAAAACTCAAATGAGCTGGTGAAAACAAATTTTGAAATTGAAATCGATTCAAATCTTCTTGAAGCATTTTTTCAGAATTCTTGTTAAATTTAAATACACATGATTTCAAAACTCTTAAAGAAAGCTTTCATCAACTACTGTCGGCCCTCCCAAAACCGATCCTGTCAAAACCGATAACCTGCCATAAACGATTAAAATTTGGTCCACCATGT